ATCTATCACCTCTGTACTATGTTGGTTCCATGTCTGGATGCTGCACCCAGACCAAGAGGAGGGAACGTGACTGCTCCAGGATGGGACCTCAGGGAGGCAGATTTAAGAAGCCAAGAGGACAATATTACTCAGCAATGAAGCAGCCTGAGTGTATCAGCAGCCTCCTGCCAAGAGTTTAGTACTATTATTTATATTTAAGTAGCATTTAAAGGGATTAAACTCCTCCTGAACTAAGCACTTCAAATACAGTTTCTGCCCTGGAGAGTTTATGAAGCTAATGGATAGCACACAGAAATGATGGGAGGGGAAACAGAGAAGTCAAGTGACTCGCTTGGCTCAGTCTCACAGTGAGCAGAAGAGTTTATACATCTTTTGTCCTAATTCAGTTCCTTTTCCAGTGAGTGATGTTGCATCTAGAAGGCTAAAACCCTCCCGTAACACACCAAGAGTAGTATTGACTGCAATTAATGTCAGACATAAAGGAGATCATGGATTGGGTAGTAGACAAGTACTCCAGAATAAATCAGAACAGGAGATCAGGCAGAGCTTTGGATTGATAATGCAATTTTGCCAGGACATAGGGTCTAATATTTCCCAAAGTGTAGAAATTCCCACGAGGCTTCCACACTTATAAATGGGTAGGGAGAATGTTATGCTTTTAATGAGATTACCAGAAATTCAACAAGTGCAATAGAGCAGTAAAAATAATGCATTTGTCATGTGTAGCTTGCATAAAATTGTAAACAATCTGAAAGAACAGGCCTAATTTTACTATTAATTCACCAAAAAAAAGACAAAATGCTGCAATTCATGAGAAACATTTTGGTGGGAGCAATTCAGTTGAACTGAAGAAAACTGCAGCTCATAAACTTCATATTATTTCAATTGCTTTATCTTATCATTCTTTAGCAACATTTAAAAAAGAAAAATCTCACAATATTCCATGTCATATTGTACATGGCTGCTGACAAACACACCAGAAAATATAGAGTATGTCTCTTACTTTAGCCTATTGCTTCCTCATTACTTTCACTTCCAGAATTTTATGAGATATATAAATCTTGGGGATCCACATAGGTCTGAATAAAAGCATTGAAATTTATTAGCATTCAGGGCAGCATATTATTTTTTAGTGTTGGTGGGAACCAGTACTTAAAATGAACATCTCATTAGGCATTTACCTTCAGAGCAGTGTGTGCCTGAAAGTGGCACAATAAAGAGGGAAAAAACAGTGGTTGCTGCAGATAGATAATGCAAAGAACAGTTACATCAGTCCTGCTGGTTCTGCTCTAACCACTAATGCCCAAGTTTATCTGAAATCTACTAGAATCTCTGAAAACCTGGAGAACACAAATTATTTTGTTTCCAGCTGTTCATATCTTCTAATTTTCACTCAGTTTGATTTCTCTTCACATAAGTATATTCTAGCTGACTCTTCCCCCAATTCCCACTGTTCAAATACAGAGGGACTCACTGAAGCTGCACAACCATGACAATATAAATATGAACTAAGGTGCAGAGGGGTTGTCCCTTCACTTTGTGGCTGCAGGAATGGAGCACATGTATGTCCCCAAGCCCAGATTTAGCTCACAGGGCAACAGGTGACTTAATCCCACTTGTTTGCTACAAATCCCACAAATGTCTGTTGTCTGTCCTTGCCATGAAGATCCTTCCCCACCTTTCTGGATTCAGCACTGGCAATGTCATCGTCTTCTGATCTGGGCTATAAAAGATTTCCTCCAGGAATGTAAGCTCTGGTCATGTGTTTCATTTTATTAGTCAGCTCAATGCCCCTCCAAAACATGGAATGGATGGCAAATAATGTGCTGAGGTTTTCTAAGACAGTTACAAAAGGTCAGTTTAAATATGCATTTCATTTTTCCTTTGTTGTCTTTTAGGGTTGGACTTGATGATCTTTGAGGTCTCTTCCAACCTGGTGGATTCTAGGATTTTAATGTTTTGTCTGATAATGATGCTCTATGGAGGCCTCATATAAGGGTATTTTATAGGGTAAAAAGGACAATCGAGAAGAATAAATTTCTTTAGTGCTGTACTTAAGTTTAAGGAATAAAACACATCAGGTCTACAGCACCATCTATAACATATGAAGTGGTCTTTGGATCAGAACATCAAAGCTATGGTTATCCCTGGTGCTGCATCTCCACTTCCACCAATGATAAACAGAGCCTGATAAACTGAATCTCAGCAGCCACACCTGGTGGCATTCCTTTAGGAAATTCCATCTCCATGGGAAATGAGCTAGGTATCCAGAAACAAAATGGTAGATGCTCAAGGTGATGGTCAGGCAGTATCTATCCCAATTTCTGAATAACATGCATGAGCATCCAAGACCTATGAAAGCTGGGACCAAGGATTTCCACAGCTATGGCAATCCTTCCCCTTTGAACTGCTGCATCCCCTCCATGCAGAGCACAAATGTCAAGTTCTCTAGAAATCCTCAGGGTGGAAAGTTCTCTCTACTGACAGATCCCTGATGATGGAGATCATTTGCAACAGATGTATTGAAGACAAACTTCATAAATACAATGTTCCTGCTCATTAATAAATTGCAGAGTGAGTTGTATTTGCTTGTGCAATTACATGAGTACAGCACTCTGACTTCTGATGTAGAAGTTCGTTCTGGCATGCAGTGAGAACAACATTTCTGGGTGACTAAGGAATGAGACATTGCTTGCTAATTTCCATCGTGAATTACAGTGAGAAGGTGGCTAACAATTCACTCATTGGATTAAATATTTTAACAATTCCACTACATTTGGAAATGTCTCATTTCTCATCCTATTTCCAGAGAATCTGAATCACAAAATGATCCCCAACTCAAGCCTCCAACAGATAAAACACTTTACTACAATTTAAAATAAAATCTCCTCACTGGTTGGAAAATGATTAAAACTAAGCAGGATGCACTTCAAAAATGTGGAACCAAAGTTTGCAGGTAGATTTCTGTGTCTGTCACAAACACTATATTCTCATTTTAACCTCACTGTTCACTTTATAACCCATTTTTCTTCATGATTTCTAAATATTCAAGTCCCCCTAAAAAAAGGCATGACTTAAATTTCAAGGGAATGGAATCAATGAACCATGAACCAAGAGAACCATGAACCAAGAGAAACATAAACCAAGAGCAGTATATATGTATTTTTAGGGCCTTTAGAAATTGGATATAGCACTCCAAATATTTCATGCCTTGTCTTCTTTTTGTGACTGGAAAACTGTTGCCAAACTGACCTGATGACAATACACTGGTATAAGGATGGGTTTGGGATTTTATTATTCATTTAGGGCTTTAAAAGACCCACCTATGATGACTGGAAGTATTTAAAACCCCTCCCTGAGAAACTACTTCTCACCTCTTAATAGACTCTCACTGTCCATGGCCTTGTCATAAAGTTTTACTGATCTGGCACCTCTTCCTCCTGTTCCTTCCCAAACTGTTTGTAACAGCCAGTTTAGTTCAGGGTATAAAAGCAATTTTCACAAAAAATAATAAGGAAAAAAAACCCCTTTGATGTCTGGAGAGTTATAAAAGTTGCTGGTCAGCTAGAAGTGACTAAGCAAGTTGTTGAGTTCAACAGGGATCAGTGAGAAATCTGCAATAGATTATCCATTGATTAGGTTTAATCATGTTCTAACATGCAGTGAGAACAACATTTCTGGGTGACTAAGAAGGCCAATGGCATCCTGGGCTGGAGCAGGAACAGTGTGGTCAGCAGGACCAGGAGGTGATTCTGCCCCTGGCCTCTGGTGAGGACACACCTTGAATCCTGTGCTCAGTTCTGGGCCCTCAGCTCAGGAGGGACATTGAGGGGCTGGAGCAGGTCCAGAGCAGAGCAACGAGGCTGGTGAAGGGACTGGAGCACAAGTGGCATGAGGAGAGGCTGAGGGAGCTGGGGGTGTTCAGCCTGGAGAAGAGGAGGCTCAGGGGAGACCTTCTCACACTCTGCCACTCCCTGACAGGAGGTTGGAGTCAGGTGGGGGTTGGTCTCTTCTCCCAGGCAACCAGCAGCAGGACAAGAGGGCACAGACTCAAGCTCTGCCAGGGGAGGGTTAGGTTGGAGATTAGGAAGAGATTTTTTCCAGAGAGAGTGCTCAGGCATTGGAATGTGCTGCCCAGGGAGGTGGTGGATTCCCCATCCCTGGAGGTTTTCAAGCTGAGACTGGATGTGGCACTTAGGGCCATGGTCTGGTAACCATAGTAGGGTTGGACTGGATGATCTTGGAGGTCTTTTCCAACCTGATTGATTCTCTGATTCTCTGATTCTATGTTTTAACCCTGTTCCTCAAGGAAACAGTTCAGAATCAGCATATTGGGAAATGACAATTAAGATACTCAACTGAACTGCAATTTGGTATGATTTAAGACTACTATGTATCATCACAGAAGTTGCTATAGAAACAAATACGTTTGAATATTTATAACACAGTATGTGAGCTTAATCTGTTAGGTTATAAGAAATCCATGGAAACCTGGAAGTTCAGGGTTGTCACTCCACTGTATTCTTGCTTTAAAAGCACAGGGTTGTGCTTTATTTATTACCTTCAATTGTACAGGCTCTGTAGGATGTAATCAAGTAGTTCTGATTTCATCTAGTAAGGAATGGATGTTTTACCCATGTGAAACTAAATTTTCTGGAATACACAAATCTTAGTGGCCAGAAAAATATTCTCATTTTTTACAAAGATCACACAAATGGCAACTGCCAATGGGTCTATTTGGAAACATTGGCTGACACATCATAAGCAGATCAGTGCTACTGATGCAAATTCTTCTTTCTGTGGCTGGTTTGTGCTCACTGAGGGATATTAAAGGTGTTACAATGGCTTAATTCCTATGCTAACTAGGAAACTGCCCTTCTAACTGACCTCAGGAAGCTCTGGCTGAAGGTGGATCTGTTCAGATGGTTCAGGATGGAGAATGATTTGCTGCTTTTTGCTCCAGAGTACATTATGCCTGGACACTACAGTTCTCTGTGCAGGACTGAGTTGTGGATACAGGAGACAGTCAGCATGGCACAACAAATTCAGGAGCTGCCTTGTGGCACATAGGGCTGAAAAAGCCTTTAACAAGCCTTGACTTTGCCTCACCACTCCCTTTGGCCTGAAATGGTTTGTTTTTCTTGATAGGTTTAAAATCTAAAATGAATGCTAAAAAACCCAGAGATGTTAATTCTGTTTTACTTTCCTCTATTTCAGAATTCAAGGTGAAGCTAATGAAACTTTATTTAAAATGTCTCTGACCCTTTATATCTTCACAGAATCACAACATAATCACACAGACTTAGAAGAGACCCTTGAGGATCATCTAGTCCAACTCATGTCATAAAGTAATTTAATTTCTGATGTGTCTGAAAATAGTTTTATTATTTTGAACTTATCTCAGACAAATGTTCACAGAAGATATTTAACATGCACAAGCTCTGAGTAAAATTTTGAGAAGGCAGATGATGCAGAGCTGATGAGAACTGGCATTTCTTCTGCACCCTTATTGATACTATTTTGTACTGGTGGGTCACTGCAGTAGCTAAGCTGGATGGAAACAGATGAAGATGGAGCTGTTATAAAGCTTCTCCTTACACATCACTTCTCTTCTTCAGAGGCCTTACATAACACCAGACAGAATGTTTAGAATGTGTTCACCCTCAAATTTACATCCCAGATTTTACAGGACTTGAACCAATGCCTTTAGCAAGACTTTAATTCAGTATCTGTATTTTCATGTAAGTCTGGGGATATCACAACTGCTTCAGGGAGGGAAAAAAGATGAAAATATTCCTCCTGGAAATGTCCAGAAAAACAAGAACTCTTAGGCCCCTTAAAATTCCTCCTGAAAAATTTGGATCAAAGCTTTTCAACCAGTCCTAGTGTAGTGCTATTTATATGAGAGAAAAATCAGACCTTTGTGACTAAGACCTTGCCTAGAAACTGTTTGCCAGGACAAAAGCTCTGGAGTTCAAGAAGGTAACTGCATCTTACTGACCACCTCCTTAACACAGAGCTCAAGGTAACAGTAACTCTTCTGAACAAACCTGATTTTCAAGGAAAGTTTTCAGTTTTGCCTCGGAATGCTGTAGGGGTCAAATACAATTATGTATGCTTAGAATGTGGCATGTTTCTCATGAGGATTACAGTGCTGAGAGAGGCAGTTCTTTAACAATTTCCAGAGATATTAAGAGCTGTGAAGATTCAAAATCACCCTTTATCTTGCAATAAATCTGATTCATTGAGTGAGCTATTTGAATAGAATCCTGTAAGGCTTATATCTTGTAAAGCCTTTTTTCTCAACAAGAAATGAGTAGGCTCAGTACAACTGAGGCTGTGCAGATCTCAGTGTATGCGAAACGAGAGATAGGAAAAGAGGGAGAAATAAAAATAAATCACAGCTTGTATTGTAAGATATTTTAACACTTACTTCATAAAACCTACATTCAATTGGCAATTGTCAGTGAAAATGGTCACCAGCATAAAAGCTTTGAAGGCTGCATGGCAGGAGGACATTCCTGTTGTATGTTATCCAAGGAATTAAGATGAGCAATGTAAACTATCAAGTACCACAAAGGGCCCATGTAATACCTTCTCTTAGCATCATAGAACTGTTAAGGTTGGAAGAGATCTCTAAGATGATCATGTCCAACTGTCAATCCAGCACCACCACCATGTCCACCACTAAACTATGTCCTGAAGTGCCATATCCTCATGTTTTTTGAACACTTCCAGGGATGGTGACTCCACCATTTCCCTAGTCAGCCTGTTCTGATGCATCTCCACCATTTCCATGGAGAAATTTCCCCTAATATCTAATCTAAACCTTCCCTGGTGCAACTTGAGGTCATTTCCTCTTGTCCTGAGGAAATGCATCCATTGCATCTCATGGAAAACAGAATACAAACTAAATCAATCAGTAAAAATGATAACTGAAACAATCAAGTGAAGATCTTAAAGATCTGAAATACATAAACTTTGTTAATACAAAGAAAAAAGGGGATGGTGCACTAAGGTGAATCAGATTTCAAAGTTGGCAAGCTGGAAAAGCAGAACATGACATTTTTATTTCTCTATATAATAAATGAAGTCTTGTTGATGTAGACAATAATTGTTCACAGACTGTTGGTATTACACTCACCAACCGAAAGTGGAAACCAGTGTCAACAGGATAAACCAACTCTTTTCCTTCTACTACTAAAAGAAGGGACTTGAATTTCGATGGGATAAAGCTGGTAAGGTAAAATGGGACTGACTGTTTTCTTTTTCCTTTTAATAGAAATGTTTAATATACAGGTATTTCTGGTCAGTAGATTAAGTCCTTTCAGATCTATTTCAAAAATCAAAAGCCAACCTGCAAAATTAATAGTGAATTGTAGAGGAAAGTTAATCTAATTTCACCATCAAATATTGATGCTGAATGCAGGGGGTTACCTGAATGTAGCTGAAATTTGATTAATCCTGTAGTCCTTACACTATTGGACAGTATGATGAAATTATAAAGAATTTACAAAACTAAAGGCACAGCTTACTTGACAGCTTACTTGATCTTGGTGTTGACTGGGTGGTCGAGAGTGGGACAACTTCTCTGGTAGCCTTCTGTCCAGGATGTGTCCATTCTCCAAACGAGACTCCCTGGGCTTGTCAAACCAATCTGTTTCTTCACGACGGAGGTGATAGGCTTTGAAAACCAAGGACAGGTCAAATGTTCTGATCCAGTGCTGGGCAAAGGGCAATAATGTGCATTGGGCATAGCAAACATGCAGAGTGGTTACTAATTGGCCATGCAGATAAAGCAGAGTTACAGGTGAGACTTGAGCCATTGAACTTGGGCATCGTTTAGCTAGTGAAATAGCAAAGGGAGAAGAATCTGTTGATGTCAAAAGTATGGATATCAAATATGGAAGAAACCCAAGTGCTAGAGCCATTTCCTTCCTTCTGGCAGCTCAGAAATACACTGCAGGATTTGCACAGCCCTAAAATGTTTATTGAAAGAAAATTGGTCAAATTAGTTACTTTTCAATAGACTAAGGAAAAAATAAATAAAAGCACCCAAAATAACTAACCCTCAAAACCCAAACTCCACTAATTCTCAAATTTCTGAACTGAATATTATTCAAATTACAACTTCTGTATGCAATCAGTATCAACCCAAATCAAGGATAAGAACCAACTCTGTAAGTCTTTGTAATTCTAAGCAGAAATATTGCAAGTGTTCTCATCTTGAATTCCATCCCCCGATTTTGCAGTATGAACCTTAGCCATAGATTGTTAGCCAGAATGTTCTTTCTGCATTAATTCTACAAGACTCATGTTCTTTTATTTGCAACAGTTTTCAACCTGCATAAAATCTCTTGTGTCAGGCACCTTTATGGGGATCAAATAACACCATTTCATTGAAAACAGTTTTGCAAATGCATGTATTTATGTTTACTGACTATTGGGTCAACTGGCATAGATATCAGTCCACTGGGATCAGAATCTTGTCCTATGTGTCTAATAATATTTCTGCTATACAACATAGAGATTTTCCTCTATGTTGCCCATAAGTGTAAACCAAAGCAAAGTGCAGCTAATTAGAATGGGATGAAAGTTTGAATTTGATGCTTTATTAAGCAAGATCAATTTGGAAATCAAAAAAAGACAATATTTGTTTCAGCAAAAGCACCAGAAATTGCAAACCTTAAATAAGGTCAGTTGTTGCTATGGTAACAAGAGTGAATGCACATGACACAGAAGAGAATTTGAAAGGGAAAATGGTAGTGTGCATCATCTTTCCTAGTTAGTTGAGAGAGTAAATATAATCTAGTTGGTTTAACAAAGAATTTGAAAAAAAAATTAATGGGATGAAAAAAATGGCATTTTTTTCACTGCTGTTTTATTAAGTTGCTCTAAACCAGGAAGAATATATGTGCATGACTTTTGCAAAATAATATTTTGTCTGTGGTAAAAACCACACCCAATATTATATTTGTTCCTTTGGAAAATCCTTAATCTTGGTGCAGATATTTTGCAGTCTCTTCCTTCATAGCTGTGCACAAACTTAACCTAACACGAAATGGTTTAAAAATGTTACTTAGATCAGCAAATATGAATTGCCAGAAACATTATTAAAGGTTGATGCTTGTCTGGCTAGTGATTGGTTATTGATTAACTGCTCTCAGTAATGATCTAATATGCAAATCCTTTCTGCATCCCACGTTTATGCCAATTGATTAGTGGCTGCATGGAGCAGACTGGTTCATATCTCATCCTGACAGAACTTTTACTGAAGTTTGCATGAAGAACCTACTGTATTCTCCTGACCCCAGATGCTAATGCTAGCACAATCTGCATCATCAGCTAAGCAGATGAAAGTGATTAATTTTTCTTTTCTTCCTGCCTCAGTTGAATTTTTGCTGGATTTCTTCTTTTGAAACAGTAGAATTCCACACTGCAGTTCAGACCAGCCTACTTTTTTTACTTTTTTTTCTCAAACTGTCACGAATGTGTGCATTTTAAATGAAATTTAAGAAGTTATGTATGTATGTGCATATGGACACACACACGCCACACTCATAGGTACATACACACCCCATTGGATTTGGCTTGCCCAGCTAGGATTTGTTACAGCTGGAAACCTGAGAACAGCCAAGATGAATCACTGACAGCCTCAAAGGAGTCATCCTTTCATTCTAAGACTAACAGGATGCAGCCAGATGGTTCCACCTGTAAAAATCTCCTGCTGGAGTCAATAAGGTCCCATGCTGTTAATCCCATTTAACCAGGTGAGATCAAATTCCAGGCTGTGGAGCCCAAGAAATTTGTTCAGAGCAGTAATAGTGATCACTCTAAATCCCACAGATGAAAGATTACAAGGAATCAGCTGTGTTGTTATCTTGGTGCCTTCGTATCTCAATTTTAAACTTCTAAACTCTACTGTAGAAGTAACAAATTAGAATATAAAATAAAAGAAAATAATCCTTCAGGTGAGAAAAGGTACATTTTATATCTCCTGGTAGAAAAACTGACCAGCAAGGGCTATTTACAGTCACAAAATTGAGTATTAACTTCAGCATTCTTGAAAATGAGTATCTTCAGCAGACTCAATGGTGTGTGGGAAGTGGTAGCTGTGGGGTTGATAGAGCTCTATTTGCTGGATCAGACTTTTCACAAAACCCTGAGAAAATACCAAGTGTTTCAAAAGCTCAAACCACTATTTATTTTCACTGGGAAGCTCTGGATGTTGTGCACTTTTGACACTAAAGCTATTTTTTTATCCTGCTTGAAGTTTGGGATCTCAGTGTAAGTACTACTTACGTGCTGAAGAATAGCTTAAAGATTTATTACAGTCAGTACTTAGGGAAAAAGAGAAGGTTTGGCCTCAAAGTCCTATTTGTATTCTCTTCTGGCATTTGTTATGGAATGGGACTTATAAAAAATGAGCAGAAGTTAAGCATGTCTCTCACTTCAAACTGAAGAAAAACAGTTTACACTGAATGCTTTCACTTAAATTCATTTTTAAAAGTCTCTTAGGATGACAAATCAAGCTTTAGCACAAGAAGAGTTTCCCTAAGACAGTACTTAAGATAGATTTCTTTTAACGAAATCTCACCAACACCATGAAGCCGTTGTTTAAAAACATAAAATAAAAAAAAAAAAAAGAAAAAAGAGAAAAAGCAAACCAAATTGTGTTAAAAGGCTGGATGAAACATGCCAGAATAGCTGTCCACTACCAGGGCACTACAGATCTGGAGTGGAGACCTCAGAGCAACTTTTCAATATTTGAAGGGCCTACAAGGAGCCAGAGAGGGACTCTGTGTTAGGAACTGCAATTATAGGACAAGGGGAAATGGGTTCACACTGAAGGAGGGGAAGTTTAGGTTGGATATTAGAAAAAGGTTTTTTACTCTAAGGGTGGTGAGACACTGGCACAGATTGCCCAGGGACGTGGTGGCTGCCCAAGTAAAGCTATTTGTGAAGAAACAGAAGATTGTTGAAAGGGGAAGCCCTGGCAATGGCATATCAAGCTACTGTGGAATATGTGACTTGCGTTAGAATCCTTCTGAAAGAG